ACACAAGCTATAAATTATATATATATATATATATAATTTTAGAATTGTACTGGGCAATTATATCGCATAAATTCAAAAACTCGTTGTCCTAACTTATGTTGATAAGTGTTCGGTTACCTTCAAAAGAACTTAAAATGCTTGATCATTACAATTTACAAGTCATTAAACTGTTAAGAGAATTAAAAAAAATATCATTATTTCACTTCAATGTGTAGTAACATATTTTTATTAGTATAAATATATGATTCCTTTCCAATTGAAAAGGAGAAAAAGATTATTATATGCTTGTTATACACTTCGTCCGATTACTCTAGACGTACTTATCCTCAGCAAGAATAAACCATTATTTTTGTCTCTGGAAATAATAAATATTATTATATTAGTCTTTAAAATTTTAAAGTATCAAACAAATATCCAGAATATCATATAAGTCTTTGAACTTAATTAACTTATTATTATTTTAGTACTTGAATATATATTTTCATTGTTCATCAATATATGGAAGTAGATATCGTATTAATATTTTTAGGCGCTAATTGCCACTTATCAATGAATTACTATGTATTTTATTAATTAATTTTTAAACACAAAATGCATGAAGTACAAAACGAAACCGTGGAGGAAAAGATTCCTTCGCTTCTCTTTGGAAATAACAAACAGTCAAAAGGCTACCGTGTCTACAACTTGCAAACCAAGAAGCTGATTATTAGTCGAGATGTTGAAGTTGATGAAAATGCGACTTGGAATTGGAATGATGAGAAAGAAGAGAAAAATACCTGCATGATGTTATCAGGCCCAAGTTATAAGCTTCCACTTGGGTTTATTGCATCACGCAATCCATTAATAATGCCGTCTTCCACAGAAACTTTCAGTAAATCTATTTAAAAATTGAACTTCAGTTATTTTCCTCTTCAGAATCGGTCTTTCTTGTTTTTCCAGTTTCTAATGACATGTTCTGTTCATAGATGAATTGAGAAACTAAAGCCACAAGAATAGCTCCAAGAACTGCTACTTTTCTCCAATCGGTGGATGATGAGGCAATAGAATCTACTATTGCAAAGCCCAGCAGGCCAATAAAGAAGAGGTAAATGCTTTTTCTTGTCCCGCTACCAGCTTTTTCTCTGGTTACATCTTTGATTTTCTCTGCCTCCTCCTTGGCTTTTGCTTTGTCAACAGGTGCGTTCCTTCTGAGGTTCTTAAAGAATAGCCCTTCGTTTCTTCCGTCCTCCATTTGAACTTCAAACTCATCTAATTCGTTTTCACACTCTTGAATCCCTTGTCTGATAATTTCTGCAGATTCCTCAAATTCCACCATCTGGTTCTCTATGTTTTCTGTTATCTGCCAAACACAAACGAACACAACAGTTCGTTATTAAATTACCTTTCACATATAGATATTCCTTCATGCCGTGCTCGATGATGGGCTAGTGTGTTTGGCACAAGAGACAAAATTTTAAAATTTGCAAATTCAAATTCAAAAACTAAAATTGCACCACATGGTAAAATCAAATGTTGAACCATACTCTGGCACTAGCTTCATCTAATCCTTGGAGGGCATCTTCTCCAATTTTGTCAAACGCAGCCTTGGCTTCTTCACCAAATTGGGTTAAAAATGCAGATCTCTCGTCTAGATAGTCTGTGAGACGGACTTTTTGAGTTTGAAGCATGGCAATTTGTGCTAGCAGTTCTTGTTTACGGATATCTCCTGGTTGGGGAGCTTGGGAATCTGATTCATTGGACTTGCAGAGGCACAATACAGAACCTTTTGTGTTGAGGAATCTCTTGCGGTAGATGTTATATTTGATATTAGTAGGTGTGAAGAAAGGATGAACTGATTTGAGGGCAATCATCTTTTCATAGCAATGGAAACATGTATTTGCATGGGTTTGAAAACAATAAAGGAAACTCGGGGAGAAAGGGGATGGTGAAGAAGGACCAAGTTTTATTTGTGTTGGCTGCAAGTATTTTTGGGCCTCTTGTTTTCTGTACATTATCTGTATTGAAAACAAGGAAAGGGACATTTTTGTTAGACAAAACAAAAGGCAAGTTTTTTTTGAAAAGAGATAATTGAATTGAATGTACTTTAGAGGACCTCTGCAGTTAAAAAACACTGCACTGCAGGGTCCTGCACTTACCATCTATGGGTCTATAATTTTTTAATTATATTTTAATATTTAATATGTATAATATAAATTTAATAGGTCAGATTTCATGCTGCCGAGAATCCACCCTTGTATTTTAGATCTCTTTTTCTGTTACATAATTAGATCCAATTTTGAAAATAAATCTATTTAATTTAGATTGAACATATGTACATAAATGATTTCATCAATTATCATGTTAGATTGTTAGTAGAGATGGTAACAGGATAGGGTAGTAGTCTCTTCTCATCCATCCTTTAATGTTGATATCTATTTAGCAGATATCTATAATTTTTTATATATATATATATATTTGTGATTATTTGAGTATATATTAATATTTGGTAAAATATAAAATTTTAAATAAAAGGATAAGAAATAAAATAAAATTAAAAATAAATAATTTTAAAGTGCATATTCATATTAAAAGAATTATGATATATATTTGTACTAAAAGTCAATAACTATGAAGTATATATTTAGTGTAAAAAAATAATATAAAATTATCTTATATATAATTAAGAGTATTTTTAATATTTTTAAAGTGTGAGAACTTGTGGGTATGAATATAACAGATTATATCGGCATATATTTATTGGTAGAGATTATTTTATCACTTCTAATTTTTAGTTATACTTGAATAAGAAAAATGTTTCTTAAATTATTATATTACTTTATTTTTCAATGGTTTTCTCATATCTTAAATAGTGTTGTTCTAATATTTTATTTTTTGTTTAACTTTTATCTTTTTCATTTTATTATTATTAGAGGGATGAAGATGTTTGGTATTTTTAATAGTTACACACAGATATATATAAGAAATTACGGATAATTATTTAGAGGAAATATAAAAATATTTTTTTTACATCTAAAAATATAATGGTCAACTAAAAATTGAAGGTGAAGATAAGAAATGATTATATACATATTCCTATATTTCCTTTAGGGACATATATAAATTTGAGTTTTACATAAAAGAGGTTGAAGAGGATAAATAAGAAGATAATTTTAATAAAGTTGTAAAACAAATTACTATAAATGCTAATTAGCTAATTTGTAATATAGTGTTAGTCAATAAGCCTCGTATAACTTAAGAGGGGGGGGTGAATTAAGTTATCTTAATTTTTCTTCTCTTTTTCAATTTTTAAAGATGCCTTCTAAAAATTTACTTATTTAAGAAAAATGTATGTAATGATATAAAAATTACTCAACCACAATTAAATAACAAGTAAGTAAAAGTGTAGGGAAGAAGAATTGCAAACTTGATTTTATACTAGTTCGGCCAAACTTGCTTACATCTCGTCCTCAAGTCTGTAACTTGAGATTTTCACTATTCTTGTAGTACTTACAAGACTTGAGCCCTCAAACACCTTGGAATACCATTTCCTAGTGTTGAGATTCAAAAACAACAAGGAGAACAACCCTTTCTCCTTCACAGATCCAATGATCAATTTGAAATTATAGAAGAACTCTTCTTTTAAGAGTAGATATTACACCTTTAAAGATCTTAATGAACTCTTAAAATAATGCAATAGAAATTGGCTACGAAGTTTTTATAAATGACTTTTTTACAATGGAGTTCGTAACCTTTCTCTGAAAAATTATAGGTATTTATAGATAATTATTTTTTAGGTTATGTCTTTTCATGAAGAGTTGTAACTTTCTATAATTTTTCATAAAAGATTCTCTAGTACTCGATTACAAGACTTGGTAATCGATTACAACGGTTTTCAAGTTTAAAATGTTTGAAACGTTGTATCATTTAAATTCAGATTTTGAAGATTCATCTTCTGGTAATCGATTACCAGAACACATTTTGTATTCAAAATTCAAACTTTGAAGTTTCCTTGCTCTGGTAATCGATTACCAGACAAATATTCTTATATTTTTACACAAACTTTTGATTATAGGATTTTTGTAAAATATTTTTTAACATTCTTTTTGCTTTCTTTTCAAACAACTTATTCTTAAATTCAAAATGATTAAGTTTAGGTTTTCTTGAAATTCTAATTTTAATGGCCAAGTAAAATTTGCAATACTTTTAAAAGTTCATTTTACATATTAAGTTAAGTAGTCAAGACCAAAAAATTACATAGACTAAAAAAATAATTTTAAATTTGAGAGATAAAAAATAAATTTATTTTAAATTCAAGGAACTAAAAATATATATAAACATAATATTTATTATATGTTATGTCAAGATTAATTAAGAATTATGTGATTATCAATGAACACATAGATTGATTAAGCTTAACTAGTAATATTGAGTTTAAATCTTATATATATAATTATGTTAAACATAAATATGTTTGATGTGTCAAATTATTCTAACAACACGTGTCTGTATGCGACATACTGACCAAATCTATGATGCACTGCCTGTTTCAATGTACTCATCCGACAATCCTATGGTTGCGGGAAAGAAGTGCATGAGTTTGACATTCTTATTTCAGTTGGCATGTGTATGTAAATTCACGTTTTTAAGAAATAAATATTTATAATGTCTGTATTTATTATCAATTCTAACGTAATTTTTAAGTCTAATATAAATACTAACAGTCATTCAATACACGTAGGCAATGTGCCATGAATCAATTGATTTTCGATAAGAAACCAATATTTTCACCTTCAGTTTTGGCGAGGTCTTAAGCACTAATGCGTGATATTACTGTACCATATGGAACACAGTTATAGAATGTGGATGGAAGTGCTTTAACTAATGGTGGGCTTAGTATAGAGTTCATTCTTACCCATTTTTGGTTTCGGGCAGTGTTGGGAAGTCCAATATTACCCATGTCAAGATAATGACTATCTTATAAGGTATTTAGCTTTGTTGGGACCCTTTTACAAAGTTAAAATTTTTGTTTCAATTGATCTAATATCCTAACATTATAAGAAGATATAAACTCTTTATATAAAATCTTAAAAATAAAATAATATCTTTTTAAATCTAAACAATATCTTTGAGATTTGAAATTATAAATTAGAATTGTTATGTGATGCATTCCATATTTTACATATTAATTCAGTCTTGCATACATCTCTACTTAATTAGGATTAATTTTATTTTATTTTAGTTTTGTCATTTGAAACTTATCATGTGCATTTCTGGAAATTATGGGGATGTTTATCATTTGAAAAGTTGACTCTGGAGACTTGAAAGTGTGAATTGAAATGATTTGGTGTTTTGGATAAAAGGAAAGACAATTGAAATTTTATTGTAGTTCAGATGAGCAAAATGGGGGATTACAAACATCTACACTTGAAGGAGGGATGAAGAAATTTGTGAATTTTCACACCCATGATTCGATCGTGGCAACCATAAGGAGACCACAAGATAGCACCAAGAGCCCGTGGTGTGTCATTAATGTGGATTTTCTTTGATTCTCTATTTTTATTTCAATGGAAGATGAACCCCTTTGTAATCTCGAATATAAAAAGACCATCTAGGATTAGGAAAAGGTTATGAACCTTGCATGTTGAATGCCTTACCTTTCTTTTTGATTATTTTATTTCCGTGGACACTTATGAGTGGTTTTTCTTTATATATGGGACTGTGCATAACCCTATGTGATATCTAGCGAATTGATTGAGTTACTATGTGTGATTTATGTTAATTTTGATTCTTGCCTATTGTTTTATTTATGTTGAATAAATTTGGTGTACATTTGACATAATCGTATTCACAGGAGTTTGGATGAGAGTTGAATCCATATTACTGAAACTATAAGAAGAACTTAACCGTAAAATTACGAAAGTAAGTTGAATTTTAAGAGGAGTATAACGAATTATTGGAAAAATAATTCAAAATTTTAAATTTAAATCTCTAAGATATTATTTAGATTTTAAAAGATATTGATTCTTTTAAGATATTATTTAGAATTGAAATATATTGTATTTATTTTAGAGATTTGTTTTCTTTTTTAAGATTGTGATGTAAAATCAATAAATAGAGACTATTGAGATGAGAAGAATCAGCCGACCTTTAAAGGGGATCACCACCTTAAATGAGAGAGGAGGTCATATGAAGGAGGGTTTCCAAGTTTTACTGGAAAACTTGTGAATGAGAATTTTCAAGTTTCGCTAGAAAGCTTGTGAGGAAGGAATTTCCAAGTTTCATCCATAAAACTTGTAAGGAAGAAGTTTTTTAAGTTTAACCCACAAAACTTGAAGGGAGGATTTTCAGGCTATATGTAATACATTTTGAGATAAATAATGAACATCCTTATGATGTAGGCATGAGGAGTTGAACCACGTTAAATAAATTGATGGCTCCCCTACCTGTTCTTTCATTTCAAACGTGCTACGTGGCAATATACAAATAGAAGGCGCTATACAAATAGAAGGCACAAATAGAAGACGTCTAGGGGAGGCTCTTTCTGGAAAACGTCTGCCCCCTCTACTCTGTCTTTTCCAACTGCATTGGCTGCCACATCGTCAACAGAAGGTGTTTGAGGGGAGGCTTTTTCTGAAAAACGCCCACCCCCATGCGTTTTCTATGCCACGTGTCTGCGTATGTGTCCAAAATCACATATTTCAGTAAATAGTTTTTTATTTATTTATTTCATGTATTTTTATTTTTTTTAATTTAGTGGGGTCAAAAAGCCAGTAATCTAGGGTGTGAATAGTAACTACCGCTGAATAACTCTTCTTAGATGGGCTGGATAGATAGTATTCGTGGGCTAGGTTTAATGTAATTCAACATCTTTTGGTTCATGATATATAAACTTCCTTTTTTCTATAAGTACACCTCCTTCTTTTAAAAAAATAATTAAAATTTTAAAATATTATTAATTTTTTATTTTTTATTTTTAATTTTACATTTACAACATTTAATTTAGTACTTTTTTTTCACATATCTTTCCTCCTTTTTTCATTTTTTACATGCACCCTCTTACCTTTCCTTCACCTCACCTATTTTGGTAGCATGTGAAAACTAAAAAAAAAAGTGTGTGAAAAAGAAGAAGAAAGTAGCAAATTGAAAGTTAAATGTGTAAAATTAAAAATTTAAAAAAAACTACAATATTTTATAATTTAAAAAAAAAATAAAAGAGGTGTACTTATAAAAAAAAAGAAGTGTATATATCATGAGCCACATCTTTTAGTTGCACTCCTTATTTTTACTGATACATTCCCTTTTAGGAGACTTTTTAAAATTAAAAAAAAAAGTATTTAATCCTTATATGTAAAATACAAGATTTTTTTAATGAGAATTTTTAAGAATTCTTTAACTTCATATCTAATTTAGTTTTTATTTATTATTATTATATATAAATTAAATTTTAATATTTTCAAAATAAATTATAAATAAATAAAAATAACATTGTGTTATAATATAAATTATTATTATAAATCTAAAATATAATTTGTATACTTAAAAATATTTATTTATTTATTTAAATTTTAAATATAATTTATATATTTAAGCATAGTATTTATTTATAAACATAAATTATTTTAAATTTTAGTTATATATAATAAATATTTAACTTGTACATTACATATGCTAAAATGTTTCCATTCTGATTTTATGCAAATTTGTGTGTAATGTTAATGTGTTCATACATCAAGGCACTCCTTATTACTTAAATAGAATAAGGGGTTTTTATATAGTCTAGTTTATTTTTTTAATTAGTTTTTTGATATAAAAAAATTAACTTGTTTGATAAATAGACTTAGACTTTATATTGATTAAGCCATTTTTATCCGTAGTACTTATGTTGTATATCTCTATCCCGACTATTCGAGATGCTCAACAATACTGTTAAATTGTAAGCTATTGGAAATTTAGAATGATATTAACTTTTATTTATTTATGATCTTTTACGTCACATGTTCTATGAAAGATTTTTAATACATCAAATCTTTGTTTATTTTTTTGGGGTAAGAGAATTATTTGTTTTAATTTCTCTTCTTATTTATTTTAATTTCTCTACTTCTACCCGTAATAAATATTGATATTTATTCATTTTTTTCTTTTATTTTCGTCAGACAAGATTAAAGTTATTCTACCTATTTTTTTTATTATAGATAATTTTCACAAATAACAGTAAACACATGATTTAGACCACTAGGATTAGCCTAATGATTAAGTGAGGAAGAGTTGGAGTAGATAGAAGCATGAGGATCTAGGTTCAATCCTCATTGCGACTATCTTTTTAATCTTTCCTATATTTACAAAAAAAAAATATGATTAAGATACTGTATATGGAACGGTCCAGAACACCATAATAGAAAAGTAAAATTCATTTGTCACTTATGATCATATTATAAAATCTGTTTGGGTAAGTTTATTTATAAGTACTTGTAAAAGAAAAAAATAATTTTTTTTTTCATAAATTAAAACTAATTTATATGTAAGTTTAAAAATAAGTTTTGAAAAAATTAATACAAAAAGTTTCTATAAATTAGAAAATCTTTTTGCATTTTCTTTTTATTTATTTATTCTTAAAAGTGTTTGTAAAGAAGTTTAACCAAACAAATTCATAATATGAACTGATTGCCATTCAAATATTTAATTTGATAGAACATGGACATGAAAGATTGAACCTAATGATCTTGATCTTCTTTATAATGACACAAAAATAGGGTGCAACCCACCATATTGTATGTTCCCTTACATTCAAACACATGAATGCATTACCCTCAATCAATTGTGATCAACCACAATTTTATCTCATACAAGCCTTCTCTGAAGCCAAAGCAATCAAGCATAGGAACCAACCCATGCTTGCAAGGTGAAGTTGCATCACCTGTAGTTGACTTGTGGTGATGGAAAAACACGTTTAGCCAGCCATTGCAAGGGTCTCAAAAGTTGAGCTCTTTTCTTGCGCCAGAACCAAATGGCAGCATTGTATTGTTCATTGCGAATCTTCCTGGTGGCTGCCTTCCAATCATACTTCTCCATCTCTTCGCGTGCAGCTTTTCCCATGGCTTCTCTCAACACTTTGTTGAGCAAAAGGGGCCTTAGTTTACTCAAGCAATCTTCAAGATCTCCTGGAGTGTACAGATAACTAGTTTTACCATCTTGATCTTCAGGGATTATATCGGGAATACCGCCGGCACGTGCTGCCACCACAGGTATCCCAGAAGACATGGCCTCCAAGACTACAAGACCAAGTGTCTCTGACTCTGAAGGCATCACAAATACGTCTCCACTGGCATATGCTTGGGAAAGTTCTTCCCCTCCTAACATTCCAGTGAATACTGCAGGCATACCTTCAAACATTTTCTCTAGCTCCTCCCTGATAGTTAGCAACAAATATTATTGAGAGAAAAAAAATTATATACTGACATTTTAAAATAGTTTTACATGGTCATTCAATCACAAACTATTATGTATGGTAACTTGTTGACTTTTACCATATTTATCTTAAAAATCATACCAATAGTAATTTTTGATTGATTGGTTGAACATGTAAAAGTATTTTACATTTAGTGTATAATCATTAAATCCTATTAAAGTTTTTATATTTAACATTGCTTTGTCTAGAGGTGAAGTTGCATGACATGTAGACTAGAAACACCAGAAATTTTCTTTTTGGAGAAGGGGTGTTAGAATTAGTCACCTGTATGGCCCATCACCAATGAAAGCAATTCGGGCTTCAGGAAGCCTTTCCATGAGGCTGCAAAATCAATTAGTGCTCTTTCAGCATTGGTACATCAATAACCAACAAGAAGCAGTTTTTGCTGCTCTTACAGTTTATATTCTGGATTTTTATGATTGAATGGAAAATCATGAATTCTAATACTTCTCCAAGTAATGCAAATTTCACAATGAAGTTCACTACCTTTTGAGGAAATCTAAACTCTTCTCTACTCCAAGCCGTCCAACATGAACTATCAAGGGTTTCTCAGGTTCACCATTGCTGTATGACAGATGTTTAAGAATATATAAGATGAAATGCCTTTATTACCAAAACTCAAAACATATGAAAAAAATGAGACAATGTCCAAACCTTAGTCTTAATCGCATTTCATGGGATCGGTATTGAGGGTGGAATTTTTCAGAATCAACACCCTTGTTCCAAAGACGAATCTTGTTAGCTGGATACCACCATGAGAAATAACTCGGGTCAAAATTTTGCTGCATTGTAATTCGTAGGCATGCTAAGAAACACCAATTTTCGGATACTTTCCAATTAAGCATAGCTAAAAGACTAGATAAGGGGATTTTATGTTCACCTGCTGTGACCCTAGCAGCTTGGAGATCCCTTGCAATGGCAGCTGATGGTACCAGAGTCAGATCAGCTTCTCTGTGAAGAAATTCTACATGAACCACAAAAATTTATGTTATGTTCACCAATGAGTCCAAATTGGAAAGAGTATGCAAGAAAGTGCACATACTTATGACCAACCACATAGGTTTCACCAGCCAGCTAAAGGTATATCTTGGAATGTACCTGGAAACTAAACAAGATCAGCCATAAGCAATACATTATTTAACATAGAGAAGTTCTGACATCATAGCATCACATCAGAATAATTGTAAGCAGAAGTGACATGCAATATAAAATGGTAAATATATTCGGAAAATCTGTAACTTGGATAAAACTTACACAGGTACATGCGTGTGATAGGACATGACAATAGGAACACACAAAAGCTTTGCAATGATAAGAGCACCAAAAACCTGAAATTAGGTCAGCATTATATATGCAATGTGACAAATAAGTATTTACACTACACCATTCATAATAACCCCAAAATTTAACAATTGAGGAGATAGGGGAATTGCAGACCAACCATTATGCCTGGTGATGATGCATGTATGATGTCAGGCTTAAACCGGGCTACCTCTGAAATTATTCTTGGACTAAGTGCCAAAGAGAGGGGTACCTTCTGATACCAAGGGCAGGGAAAGCTGCATTTCTCATTTGTTTTAGTCATGAAAGAAAATTGTTAGTATAAAGCAGGGTCATGCTAGTTGTTGAATAATATGTTGATAGTGTAAAAAGGCTAACAAAATCTTGCAATCACAGAAATTAGGTTGATTTTGAATCTTTTAATTATGTCGTAAACTCTAAATAATTATATATATATATATGTGTGTGTTTCTTTTCCGTGTCCTTTTCACATGGTATCTAGAGCCTAATGAGAAGCAATCCAAATGCATGTGTGCTTGATGGATTCATTATTCACAGGTGAAAATTCCACTAAACACTGTTATAACTCCAGTTTTTGGTCTTCCTTTGCCATGTCATCTATACAGCCAAGGTTGTAAAAATCAAGATCATAACCAGGAGTGGGAGGGGAGCGAAAGATTGTAAATCATGTGATTAGAACATGGATCATAAGATCTTACCAAAAATATAAAAGTGAATTTAAAATAAAAAGTATGATAATATAGTCAATAAATACATGCAATAATTATTGTATTAATGTAATAAAAAGTATGATAATATAGTCAACAAATACACTAAAATTTAGGAATTCATATATTTGTTCCATAGTTATTGTATTATTAATATCTCAATGCTTAATCCATATTTGATACTGATTTTGGAAAGAAAACAAAGGAGAGAAAGAGAACGGACACAAAAGCTAAGGATCCAAGAGAGGTTGCATTTCAAATGAAAGCCCAGAAAAAAACTCCAGGGTAAAAATGGTTGGAGAATATGTAAAAAACGGGCTAAGCAAATCTTGTAATTAAGGTAATTACTTAATTAGGATATTGTGATTATAGCATTAACTCAATATAATAGAGCCTCCTCCACTTTGTAATTCAAATGCACATGTTTCATCATATGTATTCAAATAACCATTCCCTTATAGAGCATTTCAAACTGAATCGATATCAAAATGTCCAAATGTCTTCCCATTCTATATTGATATCAAAATATTAAAAATCCTAAAGCGATGAAAATAGGAATGCCATAAATACTTACTAGTGAAATTTAGAGTAAGTGCACAAATATATACTGGCAGAATATGAGGTAAGAGAATGACAGTTAACGAATATATGCAATGAATGAAAATAAGATAATTAATCTATGACAGAAAGACACCAAATTTATGATCGAAAAACCAAGACTTTAGAATTACAAGCAGAGCAAAGGGTTGAGTTGAGGAAGTGAAAAATGAGCTAATTACTAAAAGAGATGAATGTTAGCATTTAGCAACCTCCAAGATCCGATTAATTTAGCTCCATGAAATTCCTGGGGCACTCCTTCATGTGTTGTCACAACCATCACCTAATACAGACAAATACACATAACTAGTTAGTATGCAATGTAAAAGAAAAAATAAATGTTTAAACACCATAATTGTAATGAACAGAAGTTATTTGTTCCAAATTTTCTGAATTTTTGAGATAATGTACAAAAGCACCAAATATAAAGGAATATGAACATGTGCATACATAGAAACAAAAGACGTAAAATAAGTTACCTCATCTCCCATTTCACGAAGGCATCTAATAAAGTTCTGAAACCGGTTTTTGTATCCTGAGACATATCTGCAAAATAGACATCACTTTGAAAAAAAAATCGTTTTAATTCTTATGCAGCTAACACCACACATCCTCCTCTGAAGAATCACACAAGAATAATGCAGAGTACAGTTCAACCTCATTTTGGATTGTAATGAAAACAAAAGCTAGAAACCTTGGTAGAGTAATTAATCATTATGTTTCCTAAAATCAATGCCTGTTTAATGGTTACCTACATATTCTCAAGCCATACAAAACATTGTGATTAGAGCAACTTCAGGATTGAAACAATTGTAGAGAACTCAAAAAACGGCAACATTACGGCTACAAGCTGCCATTTAAAACCATTTCTATGTCATTCGACATTAAACTATACACTAACTCATTCAATTCATCAAATACGACAAAGTCAATGCTAAAGGCACACCAACAAGTTGATTCATTGAGCAAGCATGGCATTTGCCTTGTTACAGCATATTTGGATAAATTTTTCCAAAAGCACTTCTAGAAAGAAAAAAAAAATCAAAATAAGTTTCTGTTAAAACTAGTTTATGCCTAAATTAAAAATATGATTTTGGAAAAACTAATCGGAGAAAACTTTTATAATTAGCTTATGGAAAAATTTATTTCATTTTTTACTTCCTATTTTTGTCTCCTAGAAGTAAATTTGGGAGAAGTTTATCTAGACTCTTGCTAAGGTTCTAAAGTTGACTTCATGACATTACATACTACACACAATGAAGAGCAAACCAAGAAGCAAGACAAAATGCAAAGGGGTTTAAACATCAAACACCCCACATTCAATGAAGCATCGGACACAAAGCACAACCAATAGCAAATCAAAAGCAACAACAACAAGGGGGACTCACGCAAAGGGAGAAGGCTCAACAAAGAGAGCAATTCTTCTAGGCCTTGAATTGTTCTCATTCTCGGAGCCAAGCAAAGCACCCTCGTTCTCCCCCTCTCCACGAGAATCAACCTCTGCCATGGTCACCTTTCCAGCCTCAAGCACCAAACTTTTTCCACCCCTTAGAGCTTTTGACCCCTGCAAAGAGCACAACCGTGCTCCTCTGCATGAAAGAGTAATGGGGTTTGCTCCTGACGTGTGGAAACGTTGAAATCTAGCAGGGTGTGAAGAAGAAGAAGGAGGGGTAGTGGGAGATGAACAAAAGGGAGGAGAGAGTGAGGGATTTATAGTGATTGCAATGGCTTTCATGGTGTTATAACAAGCTTTTGAATTCGGATAGAATAATATGGTTCAGTGGCTGTGTCGGAAGAGAGAGAAGAATCCAACGAAGTTGGAAAGGAATCTATGGATGGAAGATATGTGAGTTACAATTTACTACAAATTATGTACTTTTTTGTTTGAGACAAATTCTTTCCTTAACCAAGAAACCATTCACTGGAAGAAGTTATAGCTGGTTATTCCTCATGGAGGTAACGCTTTGAGCATGTTTTGTGTGCAGATTTTTTTTTCTTCTTCATATCATTGATAATTTTTACACATTCTTTATCCTATCACATCGCGTCTTTCTTGACATAGGTTAAAATTAGAATATGAGCGTATTACCATTCAAATAAAAGATAAGATGATTGAGTTATTTTATGATATTTATTTGAGAATATATTTTATAAAAGTTATTTTTTTATTAGGTTATTATAAAAATATATTTTATAATAATGAAATATTGTTTATTTTAGATTTAAGTTTTTACAATTTTATGTTTATCATTATCTAAAAAGTTTATATAATATTAGAGTATGTGTGTGTTTTATAAGTTGTTATTTTTTCTTTTATTTTATTGATACGAGATTTGTTTGTATCTCAATATAAAATTACCATTATTTTTTAATAAAAGAATGAAATATAACATATTTATGTGTAAACACTAAAATTTAACAATTAATAGATGTTAATTTGATAAAAGAACCAAAATTAACTGTATTTTTAAAATTAGAGTGATTGAATGTATCTATCTTAAAATAGAGGAACCAAATTTACGAATTGACGAAAATGGAAGGACCAAATGTGCAATTTAGTCAATATTTTTTTTAACTAATTTAATACATGGAATTGATTCTTTATATTTATTTATATCAAAATAATTCATATTTAAACTAAAAAAGCTTATAAAAAATATATAATTTACCATTAAGTTTCCAAAATTTTTAGTTCTCATTATACTTATTTTTCACCTTTTTTTTAATATATTTTCTTATTTTTTTGTTTGTTTCAATTGAATTCCAAAATTTTTATACAAGGGAATCTAATCTGATAAAGTTCATATCTTGGATTAATATAAAAAAATTTAAAATTGCAACAAAAATTGCAAACATTTTTGTGAAAGGACAATATTGATTCAAACTTAAATGTTTAATGACCATCATTTGTGTGGCATAGATTCACTATTTCCACTCTCAAACAAAATATCATCCTCTTACTAGATATTAACTATTAAGAGACATATATAGTGCGTGTTTGAAACCAAATTCAGAACGTGGATTATCATTTTCTTTTCAGATATAATAGAAGTAATAAAAGTAATTTCTTCATCAATTAATGTGATTCTTGTTTGGATGTGAATCTCGGACATGCATCCAAATACGCCCATAGTAAGAGTATCATTTTTAGGATTTGTTTCCTTATTTTTAAAATAAAATAATATTAATATTTAATTTTGTATGACAATTTTTCTCTATAAATAGAGATCTTATGAATAAAATTAGATTATACTCTTTTAATAAAAACTATATTTTTACAAAATATAAATATAAAATAATCCATCATTAGTATCTAGAGCTAAGGTTATGACTTGTGGAAATGAAAACAGAAACAAACTTTTCACAAATTTCTTCACCTATTTTTTATGGAGAAAGTTATGATCTTTGAGCGGTGAGAATGGAGGCATAACTAGAAGCTTTAGATCCTTGAGAAGCCATAGAAGAAGATTATGATGTCTCCGCATTGTCAGACAATCCTACCATGGCCCAAATGAAAATTTACAAGGAAAAGAAAATCAAGAAGAAAAAGGCAAAAAGTTGTCGCTTTGCTTGTGTTTAACAAAATGTTTTCACCAGGTTCATGACTCTCAAATCTGTAAAAATAATTTGGAATTATCTAAAGGAAGAATATGCTGGAGATGAAATGATTCAAAGCATGCAAGTATTGAATTTAATGAGAGAATTTAAGTTACAAATAATGAAGGAGACTAAGAAAATCAAACAATACTCAGACAAATTATTTGGCATTGCTAATAAGGTACAATTACTATGAACACAATTTCTTGATTCTAGAATTGTTGAAAATTTTTTACTAACTATACCTGAAAGATATGAAGCTTCAATAGCGACTTTGGAGAACACAAAGGATATGAGTAAGATCACTTTGGTAGAGGTGTTACATGCATTGCAAGATTAGAACAAAGGAGGTTTATGAGATAAGAAGGAATTGTGGAGGGTGTATATTTAGCCAAATGGAAGAGCAACAATGGTGGCAAAAACAAGAAGAAATTGTTCCAAGAGAGCAATCAAAATGATAACACTCAAATTTTTCTTCCATGTCTTTAGTTATTGCAAAAAGACTAATCATCCATAACAAAGATGTTGGTGGAGACTTGATTCAAAATATAATAAGTGCGGACAATTAGGACACCTAAAATATGTATGTAAATTTCATGAGCAACAAGAAGAAGCCAACATTGCTGAAGATCAATAAGAAGAGGAAGAAGAACAACTACTCTCAATGTCATGCTTATGACCAAAAAGCCCTCAAAAGCCTGGATTATTAATAGGAATACAATTGTTATTAAAAGCTATTCAGGTTTCAAATTAATATCTAGTATTTTATACGTTCCTGATATTAATCAAAATTTGTTGAGTGTTATTTAGTTGGTATGAAAAGGCTATAAAGTGTTATTTGAAGATAAAAATTGTGTGATTAAAGATATAAATAACAAAGAAGTGTTTAATGTTCATATAAAAGACAAGAGTTTTGCTTTTAAATTTGGAGAAGGAGGAGTCAATTATAATGAAGATACAAGTGAAGAGTACACAAATGCACTTCTTCAAAAGAAGTTTGATGATCAAGAGGAGAATGAAAATGATGAAAAACCACTTTCAAAAGAGAAGTTCGAGACAAATGCTAAAGTGATCCCACTCAAGAAGGATTGCAACAAAAATCACAAAAAAAAGAAACAGATCAAAAAGAGAAAAAATAGATTTTAAAATTCAAATTTAAATTAGGTGATAAAAATATTCGATCAAGGAAGAATGTTGAGAATATGCCTAAATATCTTTAGGAGAATAAATTAATTTTTAATAAAAATCTTTTATTTATGTTTCAAATATTTAGATTTAATATATTTTGATTATTTTAATATTTATTTCCTTATTTTTTTGAATAAGATAATATTAATATTTGATTTTATATGACATTTTTTTCCTATAAATAGAAATCTCATGAATAAAATTAGATTTTACTCTTTTGATAAAAATTATATCTTTACAAAATACAAATATAAAATAATCCATCATAAATCATGTCTTGTGTGCAAATAGTGGTATATGTTCTATTGTGCCTACGAAAAGAGTGAAACTTTTTCTCTTAAAATGAAAGAACAAACTCTCTTATTTGAAATAAGAATATATTATTTGTATAAAAACTCATGATTTTGTAAAGTTTGGTAGCAAAGTTGTTGGCTTGTTAAATCCTACCGATTGAAACGATACGAAATCCATTTAATAACATCTCACCATAATTTCCGTCGAATATCATCTTTATTTTTTAATTTTTAATTTAGCATTTAAAATCCTACCATTTATTTGAGAAACCATTTTTATATCAACTTGCTGCTCTGTGATACAATTTTACTGAGTGAAATTTGGCAAAATCACGTTTTATGAAAAAAAAAAAAAAAAAGAGTGTGATTTTGTCAGATTTCTTATACTTAATTAATTTTGCATCATCATGCAACATTGATATAAAAATGCATAGCTGTATCACATTAACAATAAAGATAGTTGATAGTGGAGCATAATCTAGTTTGATGATTAAAGACTAGTATGGCACAAATTCTAAATATTTTAATGGCAGACATTTTCTCGGGGAATCTAACTATTAATTTAATGATAAATATTAGTAGGAGCAGAATCTAACTTTGGAACTTTCCGTGTTTAATGAACCAAGTTAGGAACAGAATATAGTTTACAAGAGTTTCTGATTTGAAGAATTTATTGTTCTCGTTGAAAACTTTTTGGGGAAACTTTATAAGTAATAAACTTAGTAATCCAGAATCCATTTCAATTCGTTCGTATACTTCATGACAATATTCTGCTATATCTTGTTGCCAAACACAATTCTGGTACGTAGAGGTGAGCTTAGTGGACTACATTCTGGCACTGAAAAGATCATGCATTGTATAGAGTTCGGAAGCTTTGACAGGATCAGATTTGAAAGGGCACCTCAAAGCGTTCAAGATACATAATTTTTGCTTTGAGGAAACCTAAAACCACGCTCCATCTTTTATAGTAGCCTATAAGCATTTTGCATCATCAATCTTAATTCTCAAAGTGAACTTCTATTTCTTGACATAAACATCTTAACAATCAAATTAGAATTTTCATCTTTAAGCACCACAAACAACAATCTTTCTCAATAAATTTTTCTAAACTCAAGATATCAACACCTATTTATTAAATACAAACAATGATTTTGCACGAGAGTATTTTTAGAGATTTATCTTTAATAAGCGTGTTTTTAAAGATTTACTTAATTATTATCTAATTTGATCTTTCTTTATTATAATTATTTATGAATTAAATTTTAATATTTAAAAATAAATTATCAATAAATAAGAAAATCTTGTACTAGAATCTAAATTATTTATTATAAATTTAAAATATAGTTTATAAATTTAAAATATATGAAATATAATAAACACTTGATTAATTTGTAAATCTCAACTTTTCAAGGAAATTAACATAGTACTTTTCTCTTGGATTAGAACCACGAGAGAATCACCAAAGGAAATATTTTCTTTTTCCTTTTTTCAAGCACCACAAATTTTCTTTAATCACATATGATTACTTGTTTCATTATCAAGATAACATAAGCACTTATCATTTTTAAGTGTTGACAATAATACTGGCTCTCATTTTCTTCTCTAACACCAACAAAATTGGCCATTTCTTCAACATTAGTTCTACACTCGGTAAAAAAAATGACCATACTTTTAGTACTTATAACATTTAATATTATATTTATCATACCTCCTTTTATTTGTTCTAACAAAATTGCATTCTCCTCGACTTCTAGTGGTTTGATAAATCGTTTCATTATTAAAATTGTTACGATATCTTCTCTTCCTCCTCTTCTTCCTCTTCCTTGGCCACATCCATGTTCTTTTTTATGACCACATCCTCTTTGACTTTTTACCCTCCATTT